GGATGGATGGATGGATGGATGGATGGATGGATGGATGGATGGATGGATGGATGGATGGATGGATGGAGGGAGGGATGGATGGAACTTCCATCTAACATGTAAATCCAAAAAACATTGAACACAGAAACAAGTGGACTTTATTTGTAACAGAAGTCCAGTTGTTTCTGCTTTGAACGTGTTTTGGACTCATCATGTCCTGGATGACTGAGAACCTTCACCAGCATCTAACATGTAATTTGTGTTGTCAAACTATATTTTGGTTTAAATCTAAGATGAAATATTAGGAACGATTGGCGTTATTGATAATCCTGCAAGGCAAAGGGCCAATGTTGTTTGAATTAAAAACATTTTGTTGTACTTTTTGACATTTTTATGTTCCATATGTAAGAACTTGATGTCTTCTATTAAAAATGTGTTTATTGTGAGGTTTGGACCAAACAAACATAGAAGAGAAATAATTTGCAGATCAAAAGATTGTTGTAGCCTGAAGTAAATTTTGGGTTTTGTACTTTTATTAGCTTAAAGGTGTGCGTTGTCAAATACATTTTTTCTGCATCAGTTTTAGTTCTTTTCAAATAAAATAAAACATATTGTCAACCTTTGATCACAGCTGTCATCATTACTACGATTAACTTTAGTCAACATGGTTTAAGATGGCTGCCACAGCCAACTGACCTTAAAACACACAAATGATTAACTGGGACAATTTTACAGACGTTGATTTAAAACGTGTTGTGGCAGTAGCTGAGACTGATCCACAGAACAGGACGAGACTCAGCTGTGCAGCTCTGAGCCAGGCAGACAAGGAGCCTAATGACCCTCCGGAGGAGGGGGGGTACATTAATCTGCAGGTGAATCCAGGTTACGCAACAGAGCTTCCACTCTCCAGTTTAGTAAATTGAAAAAGTTGTAAGTGAAACATCTTCAACTACAGAAGTCGAGTAGAAAATATTTTTTTTTTGGGGGGGGGGGGGGGGGGGGGTTACAATGACCCCAACATACTGACTGTTACAAAACTAATGCCTCAGCAAACTATAAGCAGTGTCTCTAAGACCTTGTATAACATTTGACCTTGATTTATGACCTTGACCTTAAAGCTGGGGTGATCAAGTGTGTCTGAGAGGTGATGTAGTGGTGACACAAATGTCCGTTTCTTTAAATTACCTTGAGTGGATCAGAAGCTATGGTCCAGAAGTTTGAACTATGACCTTGATTTATGACCTTGACCTTAAAGCTGGGGTGATCAAGTGTGTCTGAGAGGTGATGTAGTGGTGACACAAATGTCCGTTTCTTTAAATTACCTTGAGTGGATCAGAAGCTATGGTCCAGAAGTTTGAACTATGACCTTGATTTGTGACCTTGACCTTAAAGCTGGGGTGATTGACGTGGCACTCGAGTCTAGAGATGCTGCAAGTGTCTGAAGTTTAGTGAAGTTATCTTGAGCGGATCAGGAGTTATGACTTGGAGAAGACAAAGTTTACGTACGGCAGAACATGTCCGCCTTCGACGAGCGTATAATCAATAAAAAAATTAATTATTCGGTCATTTAGGATTAAAAAAAACAATATTGTGAATGTAACAGACCTAAAACAGGAAAAGTTTAGTTTGATTTAACGTCAGTGAAAAAAAAAAGTTCTGCGTCTTCTCATCAGGTTTCAACTGAATAAAGAGTTTTATTCCTGGAAAAATAGAAAATAAAACTGCTGAGGTTTTTGGAAACAAAATGTTTTATTTGTTATTGCTGAATGAAGAAAACTACAGATGCAGCTTTAATGAAGAAAACATCCGACGTGCGTGTTGTAGGTTGGTGCCTTGACCTCCAACACCAGCACACGCACGGCCCTCTGGCAGCTACGATACCAAACATTTGACACGTTAAAAAGAACCGTTTCATTCTAGAGTAATCATCAGAACTCCTGTCAGGTCCAAACGCAGCGCCATGATGGAACAGCTGAAGGATGCTCCAATACGATCCCGATCCAGGAGACAGAACCAACACAGACACTCAGATTAAATTTAAAAGAAGTTCTCAACCTCACCGTCCAGTCTGGGTGCAGAGACTGACCACCGCAGGTGGAAAAGGAATCACAAACATCAGCTTTAAATTCATTAGAAGCTCGTTAGATAAACATGATAACGATCCAGGTGAGGCAGGAGCTCCTGGTCCTGCTCAGTCAGCTACATCTGTTGGGTGGAGTTCCCGTTCCAGGTGTTGTTGTCGTCCTCGCTGTCATCCTGAGTCCGAAGCCGGCAGATTTTACCGTCCTTCTTGAAGTCCCTCGGCCGATTCTCCAAAGTGTGCTTTGAGGGGATATCTCTGCACAGGTAAGAAAAACACCGCTCAGAAACGTTTAAAGTTTAATATTTAATGTTGTAAACCTGTTGAGAAGTAGCAGATTACGTCACACGAGCTTCTTACATTTTATATGAATTTAATAAGAACCAGTTCTTATTCCACTCTGGAGTTGCCCATGGTGAAAGATACCGAGCTGGTGTGGGTCCACACTTAGCCCCCCCGACCTGGTGCCTGGGTGTTGGAGTTTTCCCCGGTGGATGAGAGGGTGGATGAGAGGGTGGATGAGAGGGTGGATGAGAGGGTGGCTTCTCTGCGCCTTCGGGGACAGGCTCTGACTGTTTGTGCCAAACGGCAGTTCAGAGTATCCGGTCTTTTTGGAGTCCTTGGCGGAGGTGCTGGAAGGTGCACCAGCTGGGGGACTTCAGTGCCCACGTGGGTAACAACAGTGTGACCTGGAGGGGCGTGACTGGGAGGAACAGCCTCTGATCTGAACTTGAGCTGCTGTTGGACTTCTGTCTAGTCATAGCTTGTCCATCACAAACACCATGTTCCAACATAAGGGTGTCCATAAGTGCACGGAGCACCGGGTGGACCTAGGTTGTAGATCAATGATTGACTTTGTAGTCGAGTCATCTGATTTGTGGATGTTTGTTTTGGGCACTCGGGTGAAGAGAGGAGCGGAGCTGTCAGCTGATCACCACCTGGTACTGAGTTGGATCAGATGGTGGGAGAAGATGCTGGACGGACCTGCTAGACCCAAACTGTAGTGAGGGTTTGCTGGGAATGCCTGGCAGAAGAACCCATCAGAGACATCTTCAACCCACACCTCCAGGAGAGCTTTAACTGCATCCCAGCTGAGGTTAGGGACATTGAGTTTGAGTGGGCCATGTTCCACGACTCAACTGTTGAGGCAGCTGCCTTGAGCTGTGGCCGCAAGGTTGTCGGTGCTTCTCGTGGTGGCAATCCACAAACTCGGTGGTGGACACCTGGGGTTAGGGAGGCTGTCAAGCTGAAGGGAGTCCTGTCGGACCTTGTTGGCTGCTGGGACTCCAGAGGCATCTGAGGAGTACCAGTGAAGGTGGGGCACTGCTGACCTCAGCCAGTGATGTCGTTGAGAGGTGGAAGGAATACATCTCGGATCTTCTAAATCCCACCAGGAGGAAGCTGAGTCGGGGGACTTCGGGGCTGGTCTGTCCTTAACCGTGGCTGTTTGCTGAAGTAGTTTAAAAGCTCCAAGGCGGCAGGGCTCCGGGGGTGGATGAGATTCGCTCTGATTTCCTTAAGGCTCTGGATGTTGTGGGGCTGTCTTGGTTGACACGCCTTTGCAACATCGCGTGGAGATCAGGGGCAGTGCCACTGGACTGGCAGACTGGGGTGGTGGGTCCCCTCTTCAGAAAGAGGGACAGGAGGGTGTGCTCCAATTACAGGGTCATCACTGCCCTTAGCCTCCCTGGTGTGGACTTAGAGAAGGTGTTCAACCATGTTCCTTGGGGTACACTGAATTTCTCGGTGCAGTCAAGGGGCGGAGGGAGTCCAGTTCAGTGGCCACAGGATTCATCTCTGGTCTTTGAGATGATGTGGTCCTGTTGGCATCATCGTACCGTGACCTTCAGCTCACACTGGAGTAGTTCACAACTGAGTGTGAAGCAGCTGGGATGAGAACCAGCACCTCCAAATCTGAGACCATGGTCCTCAGTCGGAAAAGGGTGGATTGTTCTCTTCAGGTCGAGGGTGATGTTCTGCCTCAAGTAGAGGAGTTCAAGTATCTCGGGGTTTTGTTCAGGAGTGAGGGAAGAATGGAGCGTGAGACTGAGATGGATTGGTGCAGCATCTGCAGTATTGTGGACTCTGTGCTGGTCCATTGTGGTGAAGAGGGAGCTGAGCTGAAATACAAAGTTCTCTGTTCACTGGTCGGTCTACGTTCCTCCCCTCACCTCTGGTCATGAACTCTGGTAGAGACTGAAAGAATGAGATCGTGGATCCAGGAGGTTGAAATGAGTTTCCTCTGCAGAGCTGGACTCTCCCTCAGAGACAGGGTGAGAAGTTCAGTTATCAGGAGAGACACAGAGTAGAACCACTGCTCCTCCACATCCAGAGGAGCCGGTTGAGGAGGTTCATCTGGTAAGGATGCTCCCTGGGTGCCTCTCTAGGGAGGTGCTTTGGGCATGTCTGACTGGGAGGAGACCCCGAGGAAGACCTAGGACACAGTGGAGAGACTATGTCTCTTGGTTGTCCTGGGAACACCTTGGAGTCCTCCCAGAAGAGCTGGACGAGGCTGTGAAGAGAGATGTCTGGACCTCAAAGCTCATGAGGTGGTTTGGTTCTGTAATACCAGGGCTTAATTTGAGCCAGATCTTGTTGGAACAAGATCCGTGAACGCTTTTATTTTGACAGGGTGCATTCCAGTAACTGTTTGCTTGGATCCAGCAACTCTCAGACCTACTAACAATAAAGTTATGAACAGATATGACTCCTTTGAACAAATAAAACCTATACTGGATATGTAAACTGAAAATTATTACCCAAACACTAATTTTGAACACAACACGACTTCTTAATATCACGCACGATCATCTGCCCCTTCAAGTGAAGCGTTTCCGCCTCTACCCTTAAAAATCTCCGCTCCTTAAGGAGTGACGGCGCCGCCGTTTGGAGCCATGCTTGAACCGTGTCGCTCCCGGCAGCTGCTGACACGATAAATGACTCCAGCACCTCCTCAGTCCTCAGCTGCTGTTTTCATGACGCTCTGGACGCCTGTCACCCACAGCACGCATGCAACAAAGAGTATAAACTGAAAACGAGAGCGACACCCTCTCTGCCCCATGTTTTCCTCTTTCGCGTGGACCTTTTAGTTTTATCGAGGAGTTTGTCAAAGCAAAATGTTTATGTTTTTTTATAAATACAGGAGTAATGTCTGGAACGTGCTCCTCACCTCTTATTTGTGGTTGAGGATGAACTGGAGCTGGTGTGGGAGCTGAAATTCTGCCCAGGGGTTCTGGATGTTTCTGCAGAGGAGGTCGGGGCTGCAAAGAAGGAGCTGAGGAACCTCCACACAGCTAACAAAGGGTAGAGGAGCGTTCCCAGTGTGGCCCAAACACCACCTCCAGAGGACCGGACCACGGAGTTAGCAGGCCGGCTCGACTGCTGACAAACAAAAGGGTCCATCCATGTAGATACAGGTTTTACGTGCAAACATTTTCGTTTTGTTTTACATCAAACACTTTGCGTCCAACTTGCAACATAACCTAATGATAATTGACCACATCGTGTAAAAGTTTTAAACCACCTCTGATCTATCTGTTGTCCTTCCACTGATACACACTTTGTTAAAGTGGTTCTGCTCAGTTCTACCAGACTGTGGGAAAGTCTCTCTGATGTGTAAAGGAACACCAGCAGTCTTAACTCGTCTGAGGTCTGGGTCTCGTCAATCAGTTTTACAGCTTTGTTAAGCTAGCTCATACTCTGCATAAGACAGGCTGATTTCACAAAGTAAACAGGCAAACAAACAAACAACTAATTTACAAGGACTGAAGCTGAAAAAAAGGAACTTCTGGAAAATCTTTGTAAAATCTGAGAACTAATGAATAAAACCACTTGAGCAGGTCACAGGAAACGACTGGAGGGAAACTATGGAGAAATGAAGGTTTAAACATGTAGCTCTGAACCAGTGATATCCAATAACTGCTCTAATTTACAGCAGCGTGGCCTCTGGACGACTTACTGGCAGGAGCACGACGGAAGAACTCGGTGTCAGTTCCAGGTCCAGCAGAGACTGGTTCAGGTCTTCGTTGGTGAACTCTCGCCGAGGAAACATGGTCGCTAAAGCGAAGTGCCCGTAACGATTTCCCACTCTCTGAAAAATCAACGGCACTGTAAAGATCCTGTTTATCTCAAGAATCACAGTTTGTAAATTAACATTTTCTACTTGTTGGAGAATCAGACTTGTAGGATTTTTACAGCAACTGGAACTCAACAGCCACGTCCGGTAACATTTATTCAAGTAAAGCAGAAAACAGGACACTAAGAGAAGTCACTGCCTCGTTGATTTGAAGTGTGCGTCAATAAACTGCCAATTATTCAACTTATCAAAGACACATGAGCAGCAACAAGCGGTACGTCAATGTCTCCCCTCAATGTTTGTAGTTTTGGAGCTGTGGATCAGAGGTTAGAGCAGTCGCCCTCCAATAGGAGAGTTGGGGGTTCGATTCCAGCATCAGTCACATGCTGAAGTGTCCCTGGGCAAGACTCTGAGCCCCTCACTGCCTCTGCTGCGTCCCGTCAGTGTCTGAACGTGATAAAGCTCTGACTAATCTACAGATTCAGAGGATCTTTGTAGAGATGTAGCAGGGTGCTGTGTGAATGTGTGTACGAGAAGCTGACCGTCTTATGATGGCAGTTTTCAAAAAACAATTTAAAAAAGTGATTTTATTTAAATGTACCACCACAGCTGGGTCAGTACGAAACTCAAACCATGCTCAACAATGACAGAGAGACATGTTGAAATAAATACACGATATAAAATATAATATACTGTAAAATCAAATGATTTACAGAAGTTGAATGTGAGTGAGAGACGAACCTCAGCAGCAAAGTCCCAGGCCTCCTGTAATCTGCTCTGTGGGGAGAACTGGTTGGTGAAGGACGTCCCATCTGGGAGGCGGAACTGTATCCTTGCAACGGTACTGCTCACACAAACGCACAGAAACATGGACATGGACACATCACGGTTAAGTTTCTCAAAGAACCATTACCTTCACTGAATGTCATGACTGGGAAGGTGTAAACCTCGTTCTTTTCTGCTTCACATAAACAACATCACCGCTTGGCAACATATGCTAAATGATTTTGACAAGCAGGACGCCAGAGTCCCGTCGCCGTTTGAATAGTGAATGTGTGTAGTTGTCGAGATGACACGGTGGATCAGTGGGTAGAGCTATTGCCTCTGCAGCGAGAGAGTCGCCAGATCGAATCCCAGTCCGGGATTTCTGTGTGGAGTTTGCATGTTCTCTCCGTGCTGCGTGGGTTTTCTCCTCCAGCTTCCAAAAACATGCACGTTAGACTGACTGGTAACTCTAAATTGTTCCTAGGTGAGAGAGAGAGAATGGTTGTTTGTCTCATTTGTCTCTATGTGTCTCTGTGATGGACTGGAGACCTGTCCAAGTGTCTCTGTGATGGACTGGAGACCTGTCCAAGTGTCCCCCGCCTCTCATACAGTGACTGCTGGATATGGGCACCAGTGACCCAAAAAGAAAGAAGGGAAGGAGGGAGGCAGGAAGGAAAGAAGAAAGTAAGACAGGAAGTAAGCAGGAAGTAAGGAAGTCAGGAAGGAAGACAGAAAGTCATGGATGATGGATGTTTGGATGGATGTCCCAGTAACGATGACTGGTGCAGCAGTTCATTACCAGCTGAGTGAAACTCGTTTCATGTTTTGTGAGCTCGTCAGTGGGAGGAGCAGTAAATCTGTGGGTGGAGCAGAACGGTCTACTTCCTGGTAAACAGGTGATGATTTTTAATAAGGTGTTGTTTGTGGGAGGAGTTAATTCACAGCAGCAGCATCATTTCTTCACCTCCTCTCTCTGAGGACAGCCTCCTTATGCACCTCCTGCTCTGCCTGTCTGGACTGCAGGAGGGCCTGCTTGGCCACCTTCTCCCCCTCCTGAGTTTGGGCGTAGCGGGCTGCTCTGTCGGCCCGGTCCTGCACACAACGGTGAGAGTTCAGACAAAACGGTGCAGCAGAATTCACAAACGTCCATCTCAGTACGGCGGTTTGATTCCCAGTAAACATGTGGGCATACAGTGAAGCCGGTCGATTCCTAGAAGTTTTTCTTAAAGTGAACCGAGCTCACATTTCTATCAAACAAATCATCGCTCTGTTGCACTTCTTTCATCTGCCTCCATCTCAGCGTATCCCAGCATCCTCCGGGGCCACACTAACCCTCTGCACGTCCTTCACTAAACCCACGAACCAACAGCTTTCTACACAGAAGAAACTACTACTCTTACAGAAATACACAGTATTTATACATGTACAGTAAAACATGGGGGGTGCAGAGGTTAGACAAGGCGAGCCTGTGGTCGGAAGGTCGCCGGTTCAAACCCCCCAGATCGACAACATCAAAATGTGTGTGGAAATGTGAAGCACCCACACCTGCCTCCACCCTCATTTGTCCCACCCTGAGCCCTCGAGCAAGGCCCTTAACCCCCACCATCTGCTCCGCCAGGCGCCGTACATGGATAACGTCAATAATCTCATCACAATCTTGTGAAAACTAATAATAAATTAATGCGATTTGAAGCTTTAAGTTTTGTTAAATGCTTCTTAGTGCCTCTCAGAAACCCTGTTGATGGTCCAGAAAACCTCTCACTCCACCCATCAGAGCTCTGTTTTACAGTGCAGGAGTGAAAAAAGGAGCACTTGAACGCAGCACGAGCTGTGTGGCTGCCATGTTGTGGAAATGAAACCACGTCCCCAGGGTTTAGTTTAACGATGTGCAGCCGCCATGTATCGGCCCAGGCAGAGTGGAGCTCAGGTCAGATCATCTCAGAGACGTAACGTGCATCAATCAACCAGTTCCTCTCCATCGGAGGAGACAAAGACGGTTACCATGGCGATCTGCTGCCTGACACGCTCCCTGGCTGCCTTCTCCTCTGCCTTCTCTCTGTTCCTCTCCTCCAACAGCCGCTTGTTGTTCTCCTCTTCCTGTTTCTTCTTCAAGTCTTGTAAGTTCTTCCCCATCTTCCTGCGCTCCATCTCTTTTGTGATTTCGTTCTGGAGGAATGGAGTTCAAAACAACAAACGAGGTGAAAAAGAGCCGCTCCAAGTTAAACGAAGCGCGACACGATGTGAAGTGACTAAATGAAACGATAAAGATAAAAAAGGCTGAAAAGTTCAGATGGCACTGAGAGCACATCTTACCTCCTCTTCTCCTTTCTTCCTTTGTTCTCGTTTCTCTTCCAGTTTCTTTGTGAATCTGGCAACAAACAAACGTTACTGTGAGAATGAGCTGTCAGAAAGTTCAGGGTACTGTTCTCTCTTTAACTGAGGTCTGTAAGCTCTGAAACAGGTTAAAGGGACAGTTCAGATGTTCAGAGTGGAGACCGGCCGGTATATCGGTACGGCCGATATCTTAGGCCGATACTGGGGACACATCGTATCGGTGATAACCGTCCCATCATGCTCCCATACAAACATTTCTAATTTCCACCTCTAAGATGCTGGAACCAGCTGTAGTTGTACAATGTATCCAGCAGAGGGAGCCAGAAGACTCTCAAGTCATGGCCGTTCACTGAAGTTTCACTTTCAGCACAGCTGAAGCAGAGAGCAACTCTGTGTAGAGTATTTGACTGAACAGAGCCTGGTGAGTTTATTTTAACTGATCTGTAAAATAAACCAACAATAAATTATCTTCAATCCTCCAACCTGCTCGTCATTAGCTATGTGCCCCTCAAGTTAGCAAGCTAACGTTTAGATAACCTAGCATCAGCTACTGCCTTGTAAAACTTTATCCAGAACAATAAATCTAACGTAGAGGTAAAATATATCAGTTAGTAACGTTATCTTTGTCGTCCTCAATGAAATGCATCGTTTGAAATCTTTACCTCTCTGTAAATAAAACTAAACTCTGCTGCGATCAAACCTTCACGTACAAGACCGACTGTTTAAACAATGAACAGGAAGACGTTTCTTTGTTTAATTTATGTTTTTGTAACACACTTGATAACTTTATGGTGATTAGTGGAGGATAGAAAACATGACCACACCTTAGGACGACTGTTTTTATGACCAGTGCTCCACAGTGAACCTGCTGTGGGACCAGTTATAGCGTGGATCTGATTAGCTTAGCTTCATGGTTGCTAACAGCTGTGCTAAATAAACAAGTCCTGCTCCACTCCATGTTTTCTTAGATTCTTGGAGACGGACGATGCTCAAAGATTTTCAGCCATTTTATCGGCGATCACTTTCCCCTCCCAGTATCGGCGATAGCCAAAATTTCCATATAGGCCGGGCTCTAGTTCAGCGTGCTGGTCGGTGGAGTTCCATGGATCAGATCACCATCAGATGATCAGAGTGAGCTCAGAACGTCAACTAAAAACTCCAGTCTCAAACACCATGATGGTTCCAGGCGGTGGAACAAACCTTTACACCACACAGACACGTACACTGAAAACTGTTTCTCTTGTCCTTAGTACCAGTTCACAGGAAACGTGTCGTTAAACAGGTTTTTAAACTTTTCATTGCTTGTTTCTGTGTTGAGGAGAATAAGATGTTCGACAAACCGTTTGTGACAAGATCGAAAAGCAACATTACCGTTTACTCGTGATGAACTCTGGAGGTTCTGTCTTTACTAAAACAAGTCAGTGTTCTCACCTCTCTACCTTAGAGTCCAGGTTTCCTTCAGCCTCAGCGGCCTGATCTGAAGCACACCGAGTGGCTGAAAACTTGTCATCATCCACAGAACTCGAGATGGATCCTACAGAGCAAAAACACAAACAAAAAATACAAATAATTGTAAAAACTTTCAAGTGACCGTCCTAAATCCACTCAGAGCAAAGATTATTGAAGGAACACATCAGGGACGATACAAAAGGGTTTTAAAGTCTCTAAACATCCTCAGGGGTTCTGTTAAATCCATTATCAAGAAATGGAAGAATTATAGGACACGTGTAAATCTACCAAGACCAGGCCGGGACGAAGGAGAGAGACCACGGAGACACCTGTGACCACTGAAGGAGTTACAAGCTTCAGCAGGTGAGATGGAGACTGAGCATACAGCAACTGTTGCCCCAGTTCTGAACCTGTCTAAGCTTCACAGTCCCTCCTCTGGACATGCCCAAACCACTGTCCCTCCTCTGGACATGCCCAAACCACTGTCCCTCCTCTGGACATGCCCAAACCACTGTCCCTCCTCTGGACATGTCCACACCACAGTCCCTCCTCTGGACGTGTCCACACCACAGTCCCTCCTCTGGACATGTCCAAACCACAGTCCCTCCTCTGGACATGCCCAAACCACTGTCCCTCCTCTGGACATGCCCAAACCACTGTCCCTCCTCTGGACATGCCCAAACCACTGTCCCTCCTCTGGACATGTCCACACCACAGTCCCTCCTCTGGACGTGTCCACACCACAGTCCCTCCTCTGGACATGTCCAAACCACAGTCCCTCCTCTGGACATGTCCAAACCAC